ACGGCACGTTGGCACGAAATTTCGTCCTCGGGCAAGGAGTGAGTGCGCGTAAAATTTCGTCCTCGAGCTCGCCGGAGGCGCCCAGGTGCGTTTTCCCGGGTTTTGATCGACAGGCCCTTTTCGCACGCACATGCGCCTGCAGCGTAGGTAGGACTAGGGTTGACCCGTGGAGTCCGTCCACGACATCTTTCTTGAAAGGTTCTCAACGACGAAGATTTTGTCGAAAATCCGTAAGCACGGCGGCGGCCCGGGCGGCGGTAGCAAGACCGCGCCTTCGTGTCCGAGCTCTAGCAGCGCTCCAGCAGTTTGGCCGTCGCGTGGCCGCCGTCGTCGCCGTCATCGTCGGCGTCGTTGTCGTCGCCGCCGAGAGGCCGCCGTTGTACCCGTCGGGGTCGACGTCGTTGTCGTGGTAGTGGTGGTGGTCGTCGTCGTGGGTTGTAGGCACCGGAAGGAGGCTGGCGACGTCGGTGGGACTGGCCCGTGGACTCCGCCCACGAAACCTGAACGAACTGGCATCCGATTGTGTGGCCCGACCTCAAATTCCGCGCATGTTACTGCGTGCTGCTGCTTGCTGTCGCTTTTGTGCACTCTTGGTAGTGCTTGCGGCCGCTGCTGCGTGTTCTTGCTGCTTGTGGCTGAAGATTGTTGCTGATGGCCAGTTCCGCTTGGTGCGTGCTTCTACCCGCTGCCTGCCGCTGCTTGCTGCTGCTGTGTGCCGCCGCTGCTGCTGTCTGCTTCGTGCCCACTGGAAAAATCGATGCTGCCCCAGGGCGCTCGAAATGTCGCACGGTGGACTGTGCATTGGGGCTCACGGTGGGCGCGCAGGGAGGCACGTCCTTTTGGGCGCCGTCTCAGCGCCCCTCTGGGATCAGACTGTGTTGGGGACTGCGCTCCCTGGAGGCCTCCGGTGTATCTCGCTCACTTGGGCGGCAGCGGCGAAGGGCGCCCTGGAACTGGGAGGCAATAGCAAAGAGAAGTAGCGCCAATGTTGGTGCGCATTATTCGGCGCTCTTTCGCTCGCGCCCGCACCCACGGAGCAGGGCAACGCTCCCTATGCGGCCACTGATTGCGAGCGCTTCCTTATCCTTGGGAACCGTTTGGGGGCCTCTCGGGGTTTCTTTTCGGCCTCCTGGAAGCCTTTTGAGACCCCCTTGGCCGTCTTGCGGCCTCCTGACGGCCTCTTGGGGTCTTTTGTGGGCCGTCTTGGGTGCCCCTTGGGCCGTCTTGGAGCCGTCTGCGGCCGTATTGGACGCCTCTGGGGCCAGCTTGGGGCCGTCTTGGGGCCGTCTTGGGCTGTCTTTGGCCGCTCTTGGGGCTGCATTGGGTGACTCTTGAGCCGTCGTGGGCGCCTCAAGAGCGGTCCTGGGGCCGTCTTGGGCCGTCCTGGGGCCGTCGGGGGCCGTCTTCGGAGCCTCATGGGGGCCTTCTGAAACGTCTTGGGCCGATCTTGGGGGCCCGTATTGTCGTCGTGGATGCTTTGAAAACGAAAAGCACGGGAGTTGCGAACATGCACGTCTTCCACATGTTTCGGGACGACTTTTGTTTGCGCGAGCTCTCTCGGGCGTCTTCTGCGAGCCCAGGTGGCGCGTTGTGGGGGCCTCTTGGGCCGTCTGGAGGCTATCTTGGGCGCCCTCGGGCGCTCGTGGACCGTCTCGGAGGCCCTGTTGGACTGTCTCGGGGCCGTCTGGGGCCCTCGGAGCCTCTAACTACCTACCAGACCACCCCAACCCAACCCGAAGACCCGAATTTCGGGTTGGGTGGGATGAGGGTTCCACATGTGCTTTTTCGGTGTTTCCCGACCCCCCCCACCCACTGGAAATCGAGGGTAAGTCTGAGCCTTCGGGTTGGGTTGGGGTGGTCTGGTGGGTGGTGAGCCTCCGTGGGGAGGCCCTCCGAGGCCCTCGTGGAGCGCCTTGGGGCCGCCCGGAAGCGCGCGGGGACCCGCTTTTTCCTTCCGGCACGCGCTTCTGCCGGCCGAGTGGGGGAGATGACGTCGGACTCCAGCTTCGCTTCCCGCATCTCGCTCAGCAGCGCCAGCGCCCGCTGCCACTGCCGGCCCTTCTCGCACGCGCTGATCCCAGCGCTGTAACTGACTCGGGCGAACCCGTGGACTTCGTCCACGTCATCTAGCGTTTTGGGCTGTCTTGGGCGCATCTCGGGCTGTCGTCAGGCCGTCTTGGCCAGCTATTGGGCCATCTGGGGCGCCTCCTGGGCCATCTTGGAGCCCTACGGAATGCTTGTGAGGCCTTTTCTGGATCCTCTGGGACGTCCTTCGACCGTTCGGGGTAGCACAAGCAGGCGTCTTGGGCCGGACTTGGCTCGGAATGGCGAGAAGATGGGAATCTTCCAAAAACCGTAGAAGAATCATTGATTTATTTCGTTTGCCGCGGCCCGTCTGGACGGCCTCTGGGGACGTGTAGGGGCCATATTGGGGGTGTTGGGCCGTCTCGGAGCTCTCTGTGAGTCCTCGTGGGCGCCTCTTGGGGTCCGTCTGGGGGGCTCCTGCGAGCTCTATCGCTCTATTGGGCCGTTTTGGGCTTGTCTGGGAGCCGTCTTGGAGCACTCCTGAGCCGTCTTGGGGCACTTGCCGGAGCCTCTTGACTCTTGAGTCTTGGATTATGTCGGGCCTGTCCCCCTACAGGGGGACATTCGACGAAAAATAAAAAATCCCCTCAAAATACCACACAGAATACTCACAAAATAGTCCCCAGACTATTTTTATCATTTTTTTGACTATTTGGAGGGTATTTTTAATTTTTCGTCGAAAATCCCCCTGTAGGGAGACAGGCCCGACTTAAGCCTTGGAGCATTCGTGGGCGGCCCAAGTGCCGTCTTGGGCCTCTCTGAGCTCAAAATCGCGAGAATCCGAAAATCTAGCAAAAACCATAAAACAAATCAATGATTGTTGGCCGCCGCAAGTCGTCTTGACGGCCTCTTGGGCCGTCTTGGGGCCATGTTTGGGCTCTTGGGCTGTCTCGGAGCTCTCCGTGAGCCCTCTTGGGCGGCTCTTGAGGCCCGTTGAAAAAGCACCCGGGGCCGCTCTCGGGCCGTCTTGGGGCCCTCTTGGGCCGTCTTGGGCTCCTCTGGGGGCCGTCTCGGAGCCCTCCTGAGTCGTATTGGCGCCCTTGCCGGAGCTCTTGGGCGGCCTTGGAGCGTTTAGCCGTCTTGGGCCGCTCTTGGCTCGAAATCGCAAGAACCTGAAAGTCAGGGAAAAAAACGTAAAACGAATCAGTGCTTTTTGGCCGCCGGGAGCCCGTCTTGACGGCCGTCCTGGGGCCATGTTGGGGCTCTTGGCCCGATCTCGGCGCTCCCCGAAAACGTTCCGAAGCGTGCTCGAGCTGCCCGGAGGCACGCCGGACCGCGCTAGCCAGGGGCCCGCCAAACCCGCGCTAGGGGCTTGCCGAGGCCGATTTTGGATACTTGATCCGTTTCCCTTCCCGCACGCGCTTCCCCTGGCCATGTAGGAGAGATGACGTCGGGTTCCAGCTTCGCCTCCCACATCTCACTGAGCACTGACAACGCGTGTTGCCATTGCCCGCCTTTTCTGCATGCGCTGACGGTCGCTATGTAGTGGCTTGGGAGGAATTGCACACCCACTTGAATTGCTTCGCGGAGCAACCGCAGTGCGGCGATCCATTGTTTTGTCAGGCCGCAGTTCTTGGTCGACGCGTCGAGGGACATAAAACATAAAGCCTTCTTAAGACTGTTAAGGCGATTCAGAAAAACATGGCACCGCTACATGAACCAAAATGGCTTCCATGTGTGTTTGTGAACTTCGGGCCACTAAAATCTGAACGCGTCTCAAGCGGGAACCACATGTTGACAACGAACCGCCCTCCATCCGTGTAACTGCTTCGCGCGGTGCTAAGACAGGAGCCCAAGTTTGAGACTCACCCCCTCAATCCCTGTATTTGCCCGATTGTTCGAGACAAATGCACGCGGCGCCGCGGCGATAGCCCCATTTTGGAATACACACAGTGGTCATTCGTTTGATAGTAATGACGGGGAGGAGTGATCCATAAGGGAGAGGGAGAGGGTACAGAGGGGTGGAGGGAGGAGGACGGGGGGGGAGAGAGGAAGTGGAGGATGACGGGGAGAAGAAGGAGGAGGAGGAGGAGGAGGAGGAGGAGGGAGGAGAGGAGAGCAGGAGGGATGAGGAAGAGCAAGAGGAAGAGGAGGAGGCGAGAGGATGGGGATGAGGATGAGGAGGACCAGGGAGGAGGAGGAGGGAGGAGGAGGAGGAGGAGGAGGAGGAGGAGGAGGAGGAGAGGAGGAGGAAGAAGGAAGAGAGGAGAGGAGAGAGGAGGAGGGAGGAGGAGGAGGAGGACGAGGAGGAGGAGGAGGACGAGGAGGAGGAGGAACTCGGGATCGGGAAGGCGGGAGGCGGGGAACAAGGATAATGCTCAAGAGGAGTTAGAGAGGAGGGGGGCAGAGAGGTGAGAGAGGAAAGCGAGGCGAGAGAGAGGGGGCGGGGCGAACTGTAGCTCCAGGTGAGAAAAGCGCTCAGGAGCCTCCGGAAGGGATGCACCGGCCCCCGATCATCCATGCATCGCCGGTCCTCCTCCTTCTCCTCCTCCTCCTCCTCCTCCACCACCTGCTCCTCCTCCTCTCCTCATCCACCTCCTCCTCCTCCTCCTCTTCCTCCTCCTGTGCCCGACTTCCCGGCCCGCCCAGGAGCGTGCCGCCTCGCCGCACCCACCTGGTCAGGCAGCACGCGCACGCCCTGACCCCGTGGGGCGGCGCACTGATGAGTGCGGCTGGACGGGGCTGCCCGAGAGACCCCACAAGAGCCGCCGAGACACAGTGCCCGCGGCGAGGGGAGGGACGGAGGAGCGCTTGCTGGCAGAGCCTGATCACCGACTGGCCGAAGAGAGGGAAGCATGGAAGCGGAGGGGAGGGAGGGGGGCAGAAGAAGAAGAAGAAGAAGAAGAAGAAGATGAAGAAGGCAAGGGGGTGCGCGCCTGGGCTGCCGCCACCTCGGCGCGGGCTGGCCGTTGCCCTCAGGCGCTGGGGTGAGCCGGCTTGGCTGCGACGATGTACTCGAACTCCGTGCCCCGCACCATCAGCGACCAGGACGCGATGGCCACGGGCACGAGGCCGAACCCGAACAGCGTGGACTCCCCCCACGCCATGTAGTCGGAGAGCACCCCGAGGAACATGAGCGCCCTGGTCCTCCAGCCGAGGTCTCCCACCGTCGCGCCTGGCGCCGCAAGCGCGGAGCCCTCCACATCCGGCACCACCGGCGCCAGCGCGCCCGAGCCCTCGCAGAGGAGGAGAGGCAGGAGAAGGGGAGAGAGGAAGGAGGAGGAGGTGGAGGAGGAGGTGGAGGAGGAGGAGGAGGAGGAGGAGGAGGAGCAGGATGGAGGATACACCGCCCCGCGCTGACCTTGCTCGCGCACGTGCTACACAGAGGGAGGTTTGCGTGGTAGCAAGAGTTCTGGGTGGGTGGCCAGTGGTGGAGGAACCACCATGCGTTTCCTTGCCATCGCAGAAGTCGAATACTCCCGCACGTGACTTGCGGGGCGTCTCTGCTTTCAGGCTTTCCCTTCGCAGCTCCAGTCCCGCTTAGCGCGCACTTCTGAAATAGGAAGTCGAATTTGATGTAGTTCGTCCGCTCTGGAGTCGTTTCTCCCAAATCCCATTGTTCAGACGCAACGGCCACCCCGCCAATGCCTGCGCAACGCCCCATGAAAGGGGAAGGAGGTGGAGGAGGATGAGGAAAAACGCAGAGCATGAGCAGGAGGAGGAGGACCAGATGCTACGATCCTGGCTATCGAAGTCCAGAGGGGAGGGGGCTGCCTCCAGATTGAAAGGACGAGGAGGAGGAGGAAGAGGCGGAGGAGGTGTAGAAGGAGGAGGAAGGAGCAGGAGGAGGTGCAGAAAGAGAAGGATGATGATGATGCTGATGATGATGATGATGATGAGGAGGAGGAGGAGGAGGAGGAGGAGGAGGAGGAGGAGGGGAGGGAGGGAGGGAGGACTGTTACTATCAAGCGATGTGTGACGAAGGTGTCGATCGCTCGTTTTCGCGACTAGCACAAATGCAGCCCGAGCCAGTACTGTTTGAGCACTGCCTGCTCTCCGGAGGGCTCGGTGATACAATATGGATGGCGCCGCTGAGGCGCTCTTCGAGCAATCAACGGCGACAGGTTCATGCTACAATTCTGGGGGGGGGGGTAGAAGAACGTCTTTCTCTGCGGGGAAGGGGGGGGTCGACAAGAAGGGGCGGGAAACGCAAAACTGGCGCCCTCCTTGAAAATCGCATGGAGCAGCGGCTAGTGCAGCGGAAGACCTGCCGCGACTCGCAGCGAGAGCCTGGCCACGTCCATCTCCATGGAAGCCTGGCACCCTCTCACTGAAAACCACACATGTCTGAAGTGATGCGGTGCCCATCCGCACGCCTTCAAATCCACAACCAATCGCGCAGAATGGTGGATCACCTGATCTAGGCACATGCCTACCTCCCTCCATCGGGCCACCCGGGACAGCACGTACGCTCGGAGGGCACTCGGGCTGGAGGCCCACGCAGGTGCCGTGGAGAATGCCTTTGGGAACAAGTCGATCATCAACGAGTCAAGGTCCACTGTCAAGTCCAGCCACTTTAGCCGCCGGCTGTGCGGCGAAAGTTCGAATGGCACATCGTGCGTACACTTGAGGGCATCCTCCAAGCATGTGCGGCACAAGACGCGGGACAACATGATCATATCGTCAACGTACCGCGAACACGCCGCAACATCCGACCAGCGCCACCCCGGAGGCACGAAGCACTGTGCCTGGAGGTGCGCGTCGTCTTCGTCCCACTCGGTTTCCCGGCGGCACAATATCAGTGAACAACACACCTTGCTCATGAATCCACCGATGGGTACCCCGCTGAACTCCGCGACAACGTCTCCGACACTGACAAAGGTCATCCGCACGAGCGCCGCCAGGCACAGGGCGAGCTCCATGAAAGCGAAAATGTCTTTAGGTCGTGGCGAGGATTATCAAGCCTCCATCCGAGAAATGCACGACGACGCATGCTGCGGAAAACCGTGACCCGGTCTGGGGCCCCTCAGTGAGCGGCACGGCGAAACAAAGCGGCAGCAGCAACATCAACATCAGATGCGCGGACACTCACGAAAAACTGTCCGGCGTCAGCCACAACTCCCTCGACCGGCCTCTTCCGCGAGCCGCGCCTGAAACATGTGCAGCCGGACCCATTTGGATGGGCTCTCAGCTTGGCGATGCCATCTCGCAGAGTCGGCGCCGCATCCCGCAGTCGCCATACTTCAAAGCCAGGGGAGAATCGCTTCAGCAAGGTCTCGTACGACCGCGACAGGAGCTGCCAGTTCCGCCTTTTCGGCCACGAGGCGAAGCTCACGATCTTGCGACAACAGCTGCGGGCAGCCCTCGCACACGAATGGACCCTCGGCGGCATGCCATCAAAGCATTTTTCTTTCATTGTGCTGTACATGTGCGGCAGCCTCGGGGTATCCGCACTGATCCCCAGGAATGCATGGAGTCGATGTGGGACCAGTTCGGCCAAAGTCATTTGTAACATCTTGTTCGCCGCAGCCTTGCTGATGTATGTGATTTTCCAGGAGCTGCTGTTTCCACATAATGGAACAGATTTGCCACAAAGCATCTGCGCGGAACTAACCATGCAACTTTCTTGTCTTTGTCATCTGAGCAAATGTGCGTGTCTCTCGGTGTATCCTGCTGCTCGCGGGTGTGGTTAATGTAATGCGAAGCTCACGTGCTCCACTCGAAGATCTGCCTGTGGACGGCACGGTCGTCCGCGAAACGGCCGGCAGGCCATGCATGCGCGGCATGGCCGGCACAAACTCGCCCGCACCATCGTCGGACATGGCGAAGCGCAAGGCGACGGGCATCAACAGCAAGAACATGCAACGGGAGACGGACTGGCACATCCCAGCGTGCGCTGATTCGACGCATGCCAATGCCGCTGATCGCCTGAGCGGCCCGCCTGTCAGACATGCAGTCGAAATCTGTTTTGCTAGCATGCTTGGAGGCACGAGAAGCGCCCTCGTAGCCGAGGTGCATGGGACGACGGCCTGCAACGACGCGGAGGTGCCCGGACATCCACGCCGATTCACTCGGCGAGCGTCCGCAATGACATACCGCGTCGCGAATGCACTTGCGAACTGAAGGCACTAAACAACGATATGGCACTTTGATGGTGCTGCCGCCGACTGGTGGGAGGCGGCGGTACCGGAGGGCCGCGTCGACGCGCCTCAGGGCACGCTGCCTGCGGAGCGGGCCGGTGACCAAGTCAAGGACACTAGCTGCTGCCACTGGTCCACTCTGCACGCCCCAAGACAACTCCAGCCTCTCCCAATCAATCATCGCGCGGAGCGTCCCGAGGAAGAGAACGAAGAGGGGCCAGCAAGCAATAGAGTATACATCCACTGGCCCTGGCGATTGCATCACAACCTTCTGCCATGCGACATAAATGTGGGCAAAAGATTCCTGCCACCACCACTCATGCTGCCACTGCCCGCAATCGCGTGCCGAACGTGGAGGCCCACTCCGGTCATCATGGTCGCGTGGCGCAGGTGGAAGGGGCAGGCCACTGTCGAAGATGCCAGTCGAGAAGGGGTCCCCGTTCTTGGCGCGCACTCCTGGCGGGGGTCTTCGGCAGGGCGGCCCTCCCCTGACAGAATGAATCCGCTTCAGCAGAAAAAGACGTCCCCCGTTTGCGTTGCACGGGAGAGCGTGGATGCAAACGGTTTCAGTAACTCGCATCTGTGCGCTCGGACCCTCGCGGAGGCAGAGAAACGTCTGATGAAATGCACTGGCCCGCCGGGCCAGACGATAACGCAGCCTTCCTGATTCTGGCAGATGGCGACGAGCACGCCCGGTTCCGTGTTCCAGCCAATGGTACAGAACTCCTCCATGACAACTTTGAGCTCGTGCACGCGTGTGCGAAGCAAGTCCAATGTACAGGAAGCCCCTGCCAACCCATGCGTAAACAGCGGACTCTGACTCCGGCGTCACGTCAGGAGCAAGGGCGTGCCATTGCAAGTTCACGAGAGACCTGAGAGCGCATTGAAGAAACGACGTGCCTCCCGCCTGCACGAGACGCGCTGGATTGCCAAGTGCATCTCGGTAGTGCGGCGGCATGGTCTGTAGAACGGCGCGAGCTTGTTTGCGACAGCTTGCCTTCCGAATCCACAACAAACTCTTGCAGCAATTCAGGGCGCCCCACAACAGCTCAACGTCCGGGTCGTGCCTGCGGTACTTGTGCGATGACGGGAACATGTAAGCATCAACGGTAATGAATAGATCGCAAAATGTCCGGAACACTGGCTGCGACACTCTCTGTTGCAGGAGCTCCTGTACCGTTACATCGAAAAGTGTCTTAATCAGCACTGGAGTGGCAACATAACATCGCAAATCATGGTCTCGCCTGGCGCGGCCGGGCACGATGTTGACCTGCTCGGCGTCCTGCGCAGACATTCCCAGGAGCTGGACAGCAATGTCCTTCGCAACGCGGCTGACCACTGCCACAGACATCGCTACGGATACACAAGACTCCAGGTCGAACTGCCTGCTAGTATCGTACTACTGCCTTCAAGTGCACACTGTACCTGTGCGTGAGAATCTGTATATCGTGTCACGTCGCACCCCGTTGCCAAAGCCGGAAGATGAGACGAAAAGAAAGGACTGTTACTATCAAGCGATGTGTGACGATGGTTTCGATCGCTCATTTTTGCGACTAGCACAAATGCAGCCCGAGCCAGTACTGTTTGAGCACTGCCTGCTCTCCGGAGGGCTCGGTGATACAATATGGATGGCGCCGCTGAGGCGCTCTTCGAGCAAGCAACGGCGACAGGTTCATGCTACAATTCTGGGGGGGGTAGAAGAACGTCTTTCTCTGCGGGGAAGGGGGGGGGTCGACAAGAAGGGGCGGGAAACGCAAAACTGGCGCCCTCCTTGAAAATCGCATGGACCAGCGGCTAGTGCAGCGGAAGACCTGCCGCGACTCGCAGCGAGAGCCTGGCCACGCCTGTACTGTTTGAGCACTGCCTGCTCTCCGGAGGGCTCGGTGATACAATATGGATGGCGCCGCTGAGGCGCTCTTCGAGCAAGCAACGGCGACAGGTTCATGCTACAGTGCTTGGGGGGGGGGTAGAAGAACGTCTTTCTCTTGGCGGGGAGGGAGGAGAAGGGAGGGAGGGAGGAGGGAGGGAGGGAGGGAACGAAAGAAGGGATGAAAAGGAGGTGGAGCGAGCCTGCTGCCCGCGGCGGCCCGCGGGCGCGGCCTCCGTGAGCCTGCCCTCGCACACGTCGCAGAAGATCTGGTTCGCGACCCAGGACAGCAGCATCATGAGCGGCGTCAGGGGGCCGAAGATGGTGCAGAGGCCCGCCCAGC